CTGTGCATGCACCAAGGAGAGCAGGCTTATTCAGAGCTAGCAATGCTCTTTCTTGCTGCCTGAAATCCCTGTTGTCTTGTAGAGCTCCCATTTTCCTGGCACTGACAAGCAAGTCCCCAGCTGCAGCTGGCAGAGCGTCCCATGGAGCCAGTGCTTGGAGGGAGGGCGCGAGGGGCATTCACACCCCTGGTGCTACCCCCCGCTTGGACCCTGCACTCCTTTGCATTTCCTTCTCTGGTGCGCTCTCCTCAACTGCAAAAGATGCCCGGTGGTTCCCTTTGCTTCCTTCTCAGGAGACGTCTCCACTGAAAACCCATCAGCCGTCCCGGGGGGCCGTCTGCTGCAAAGGGGTTCAGCTTTTCTCTCTTCAAAACGAAGATTAAGCCTAATCTCACTGAGCCCAGCTCTCTTCCAGTCTTTAACGCTTGGATGCTTATCTTGCTGGGGTCCTTTGACCCCAGCTGACTTCCTTCCCCTGGGGCAGGGGGCTGGACTCGATCTTCAAGGTCCCTTCCAGCCCGAATGTCTCTGAAATCTTTGAAATCTTACATTTCACGTCTTTCCACCAGTGTAAGCCATTTGTGGCCCCCGTTGTCTTCTTTTTAACAAGTGCATGTACAGCACCTAACACACTGAGGCTCCCCCTCCCCATAACCCACAGGTACTAGCAATGCAAATGCAAATCAAATCACAATGCTCCACAATGCAAATAAAATCACCAGAACGGGCTCATTCCTGGCTTGCAGCGGAGTGAGCAAGGATGACCTTGGCTGTCTGATAGCCATAAATCTCTTTGCTTAGGTGAGGGGTCTCAGGGTCACAAATCTCTTTGCTTCATAGCCACTGTGGTGTATGTCCTCACACCAAAAGTATCTCTGAGGAGCTAGGCCTCCAGCCACCGCTTTGAAGCCACTCAGGAAGTCTGCAGTGGTCCAGGAGCGTGAGCTTGGGTCTCCTGGGTACCACAGCGCCCAAAGCATCCTTGTCTCTTGGCCCTACAGAGACTGTCACTGAATCAGACGCTGTCAGAGATCCCGGTCTCGATGAGCAATGGACATAGGATCTCCTAATGGGAAGCGTCAGAAAACCTTAACTATAGGCATCTCTAGCTTATCTTATAATAACTCGCCTACGATGGGGCTTTGCCCCTCGAACAGCGCAGGGCCCTTGCTTTCAGAGCTCCCCGCCTGCTCCGTTGGCGGTGCAGGTTGGCGGGCACATGTGCCGGGCTCACCTCGCCTCACCCCTCGCCCAGAGCCATGCATTTTTTAATGCCCCCGGTCTGCTCTGCCAGCACGCTCTCGCATCTCCTTCCCCGGGAGCCGCTGTGAAGCTGTGCTCTGCTGCTCTCCGGGAAGAAAAGTGGGTCACGGTGTCACGTAAGGCAGCTGAGCGGTAATCCTGAGCCAGGCGAGCGGAGCAAGACACTGCCAGATTGGAGATGATAAATGACCAGCTGTGTGGGATAAACGGGGGGGGGAAGAGAATGTATCAGGGAGCGCTGGAAAACAGTCGCTGTCTGCACAGAAATGTCAGGTGAGAGCACTCACGCTGGCTCGATCAAGCCAGCCCCGGGCAGCAAAGAGGGCTCCGGGTCTCTCTTTATAAGTGCAAGACTTGGAAGACATAGGTGGCACAGGTGAAAGCTCCCCCCGAACCCCCTTTCCCAAATTTCCTTCTTGTCCCCTTCATTTTCCACCTTTAGATGCAAGTAACCAAAGCAGAAAGCACCAGCGATTCATGGAAAATCAGCTCTTGGCCTTCCAGCATCTCGGGTTGTAAATCATGTTTTCTCTCTCTGATCATTCGGAGTCTCCTCATTTATTTGGCTGGGTTTTTTTAATTGTTAATTTTGTGCAATGTAAGCATCCCAAAAAATGAGCTTTCCTTCCTGCCCCAGCAGCCTCTAGCTCTCCTGAATCCTCGTGACATAAATCTCAATGGGTCTCTTTTAAACTCGGGCTCAAGCCTTGCAATTAGTATCTGAAGCAAGGTTTCGGATACCCCTGGGGTTCAGGGAGAGTGCTGGGATCTTCAGATTTCAGTCAGATGGTTATAAAATTAGCAGCCAGTTGCAAAATTGGACTCTAGACCCGGATTTGTAACTCCGAGATGCCTGGGGATTTCTTATCCCCTATTGGGGGGGGAAGCGTTGCAAACCTGAGGGCTGGAGCTTGAGTCAAACTGCTGCAAGGAGCATGCAGGCCATTATCACTGGTGGGTTTGTGCCAGTAAAGGCTGATTTATCCTGGATCAACAGCCAGTCCTGGAGAGTAAGCAGACAGGGAGGTGAGTGTGCTCCCATGCTTCACCAGGCTAAAGTCCCTTCTCCAGCAGCTTGAGGTGGTGCTGGATGATGCTGAAAGCCCCTCAACTAGGAAGCTGGAGTGTGGTGCTCAAATCCCCTAGGCACTGAAACTAGGGGCTCTTCAGACTGGAGGACTAGAGCATGCTGGAGGCCCCCTTCCTGCAAAGCTGAGGTCTGCTCTGGACCCTGCCCAAGCTCATGCTGTCTGATATTTGGAAGCCTCTTAGGAGCCCAAAGCTTGGGTCAAAGTTTGGTTTGTTCCCAGGAGCTGGATGAGCAATTATTAACCTCCATGCTGCAGGTCTGGGAGCAGCTCTGAGGGCAGCAGACGGGCAATGCAGGGGAGCCACGGACCCATCTGCACCGTCCGTGTCTGAGCTGCATGGGGATGGGTCTTGCCAAACCCTAAGGCTCTGACCCCCATGGTCTGAGCACCCCTCTAGCCAGGGTTTCCTCCTGCCTTTGACTTGGCACCAGGGACTTCAAGGGGAGGCTTATGCCATAAGTCTGAAGTCTCAAGAAGAAGGGAAGATGCCAGGTCATGAGCACTGGCCAAAGAACCTCCTGCCGCTGCACTTGCATCCAGGCCGTATACCTTTCAGAGGAGCATCCAGTCTCAAGATGCAGATCCCAACTCCTCATTGCACAGGGTGTAGTGGACACCGGGCCATGCCCAAGGCAGCATGGCATCTGCTTACTAGCATCTCATCCATCGCCAGCTCTCCCTGCCCTCACAATGTCATTGCCCGTCCCTGGTTTGTTGGAGGGAAGAGGGGGTACCAGCACCTGGTGCTCGCCTACGGCACTGCCAACACTTGTGACTTGCCACATCCATTAAGCCTGAGCTCTAAAAACCAGCTATGGATACACAGGGGCAGACACACTTCCCATCAAAGCAGAGGTTGGAGCCTCCTGAAACTGCCCCTGAGTGAGTTGAGATTGTCCGAAGTATTTTAACAGCTGTAATACATCCCTCATCCTCCAGTCCCTGTGCTGGGAAGGGAAGCATCGTGGTATCGGAGTGACTCTTACCCTTCAAAAAGAGAGGGGAGGAGGGTGAATAGAGCCCAGGTGCCTTTCAAAAGGAGCAGCGGGGATGATAGCCAAGCACCAACCTTGCCCAGATTGGTAACCAAAAGGTCTTGAGGTCCTAAAGTCAGATCATGCCTCATAATTTAGAGACTGTAAATCATCTTAGGGCACTTGGCAGGAGTTACCCAGGATAACCGTGTTGTTAGAAAAGGTCCTCCCTGTGTTTCTAGAAAAAAAAAGGATTATTAAACCCAAGAGGATGTTCATAATCTGGTCAGTGGTACTTGTACTGTCTGGTTATTTGCTCTTCCTGGGGAGACTAGGTTGAGTTTCATCACCAGAGAGGACTGCAATTCAAAATCAGCTGTGATCTTATTTTTTGTTAACTTCCCCTACTCTATTGGAAATGGAAATGAGAAGTTTCAACAAGCGCTTCGACCCACCCTTTCACTGATATAAGAGTATTCACCCATAGCCAAGTGCCCCACTTATAGTGAACCAGTGCCCTGGATCCAAATTCATCCAGACTGGGGATGCATTCAAAAGCTGGACCTGAATGTCATAGGTGTTACCCAAAACCAGGAGGTGCAGCTAGGTCCAGACAGGAGACCTGTGCAGGTGAGGCTCGCATGCTTTGTGCAGGACGTGGGGCATTGTGGATCCTTGTGCTCGTGTCTGATCACCTTCACATCCCAAGGCAGGGAGTCCCACCTGCCCCCTCAGTCAGTGGCTATATGGCAGAGCTAATGTCTGGGCTAGAGGAAGAAATCCAGTCTTGAAGGGATGGAGACTCACTTTTGGGTCCCACCAACCCTATGCCCAGGTACTAAGTTGCACGTGGGTAAGTACGAATACCCAACGCATGTATTGCACCTTCACTCAAAGATCCCAAGCAGTACAAAGACCAGTGTTTGGGGTTTTTTAATTAGCCCTGAAGTTTTAAGGCCAGAAAGGATCATCGTCATTGTTGAGCCTGACCTCCTGACTCCACCCGGAGGGTCAGGTTGCTTTGGGAGGATGGGGGCCTGTCGGCATCATCACAGGACAGGAAGCATCTGGTGCACCGTGATGTCGATGCTCATCACTGGAGACTGTGAACGGTGAGTAACGGTAACTCTAGCCTCCACGCTGCTCAGGCCAGGAAAGGTGATGGGATGTTTGGGCCTTGTCTATCTTGCCTCCATGCCATGCACCCGGGAGCTCTGCTGTTGCACACCCAGCTCTCTCCTTCCTGCTCTTGCCAGATGCTGGACAGGCAACTCAACACGCACCACCAACGACCCCCAAGGGGGAAGCCGTGAGTACACTCTTGGCAGTGATGCTGCCTTGTGTCTTGGGATTTTGCAAGTGTGAGGTGGAAGGACATCTTCCCAGGGGCACTTTCCCCTCGACGGAGGTGGTAAGGACATAAGAAGTGCCCGACTGGGTCAGATGTATCTCCAGCAGGGGCAGGGGCAGGGGTGGCTGCCTTAGAGGGAAAGCATTGAACCAGATATCTCTGGAGTGCCATTACCCTCCCTGGCATCCGCTATTATAGGTCTAGAGATGCCAGAGGAAACATCTCCAACCGGTCTGTGCTGCCAGCAGGCCATTGCTGCCTGCAGGGGGTCAGGGTTTTGATTTTTCCTCACTTCTGGAAGCCGTCGAGCCCTGTTCACCCTCCTCTTCAGCATCCTCACTCTGCCACTAGACATGAGCTAAAGGATATGACTCTGTATACGGCAGCTCTTATGGCCCTAGTGCAAACTTGAGGTACCAATAGCTCCCTTCCCTCTGCCAAGTGGGTTCTGCTTCCCCAGCAAGCTAGAAAAAGAGCTGAAATTATGAATTTATGAATGGCCTACAATTTTTCAGGTTATCTCTCCCTGTACGTCGCATCTGAGCTAAATACCAGCCCCGTGGCAAGGCAGCTGAATGACATGTTTGCACTTAGGCAGTGATTCATGAACTGACCCCCAGAGGAAACCATCAGGAACACGCTCCGTCACGCTCCCTCTGGAGGAAAGCTCGTGTTTCTTTTCCTCTTCCCATGGCACCGCAAGACCTTGGTGAGTTTAAAGAAAGAACGGGCGCAGAATGCACAAATAAGTTAATGAAGGGCGGCTTCTTTTTTAGTGTGATGATGTTGAGGGTGAGGGAAACTTTATCTTTTCATCCAAGTCAGGGCTTTCTTTAGTGTCCCTCCCTGCAGCACTGAGGAATTGAGCTTGCCTATCTAGTTTAGTGTCTCATGGGTGATTCTGCGGCTTCCCCCAGGTAATTTATTCCAGTGTTTAACAAGCCTTGCAGTTAGGAAGCTTTTCCTAGCATCTAACCTAAATCCCCTTTGTTGCAGTTTAAGCCCATTACGTCTTGCCCTGTCCCTGGTGGGAAGGGGGGACCGTGGAAGTGGAAAAGAAGCTGATAGCTGAAGTGACTGCACAGCTTTGCCATGCTAGCTTAAGCTCAGGTGCTGGCAGTGTTCACTTGAAATAATGCTTTATGTTGGCTTTCTGTTTCCTTCTTGGCCTACTTTGGGCTGAATGAAGATGCCAGAGGCTGTCTTCACCAAATGCAGAGAAATAGGCTTTGGGTTAGGCTGTAAGGGCCTCATCTTCTACCCATCGATGCCAATGGGAAACCTCTCACTGGCTTCTGGAGCTACTGGGGCAGGTCCTGAACAACTACCCAAGGACAAGACTAAGGCCAGAATGATCAGCTTGGTGGTTTTAAAAGGGCAGCCAAAGGATGCATCTCTGCAGTGTGTTTCCCAGCCCAGACCAAGGTGGGCACTTCCCGGTCAGCCACCTGGAAGTTTCATTACTGGTTGTTCCTGCTGCAGATCCCATGGTGTTTCTAGCCTCCATCTCCCCCCACGGGAGCAGTCTGTTGGCTTTTCCAACAGTGAAGTCTCATAGGCTCTGGAGTAGTTTTCCTAGGGGAGATTCATTGCATGAGTGACCAGCTTGGACAATGTGCTGGCAGGCATACCGCCCTGTACGTGAGCTCCAGACCTATGAAAATGTGGGTGCGGAGCCCAGGTCTGCTACCGATTTACCGTGATCACGAATAAATCATGCTAGAGGGTCCATAGAGGCATGCAGGGGGGGCAGCCCAAGCTGGTTGCTAGACCTTGCCACTGATTGGCTGAGAGGGGTGCCTGTTATGTGGTCCTGTCCCTCTCCAGCAATTGGTGAGGGGAATGGCTGCATGATGGACATGGCTCCCAGATAATCAGCAGCAAGGGGCAGGGCAGTATGATGGACAGCCCTCAGAGCCAATCAGTGATGAGGGGGAGGGGCCTGCCCTGCGGGGGGAGGCCACAATCTCCCTATGAAATTGGCTGGCCACCTCCCTGAGTTAGGTAGACCCCTAAACATGAGTGTCCACATATTACGGCTCATTAACAAATGCTAAGTGCCCTCTAGGCATCTTAAAGTTAGGCCACTTTGGGTGAGGGTTATCTTTGACCCGTGCTACCAAGCTCGAGTTACCTTGACTTTTGGCTGCTCCATTGAGGGGAAGTTGTAGAGGGTGGAGGTGGGGAGTGGGTAGGCTTGGCAGCCCCCCATGAGTCTGGACTGGGCCTTTGATGGGCCCTGATGCTACTGGGGAGTTGCTGGGAGGGCTGGTGGGTGAGTGGGAAACCACAGGCCCCAGCAGGGACGGTGTGGGCTCGGTCTAGGCATGCAGGGGCAGTATGGGCTACAAAGAGCAGACAGGGAGAAGGGACCCATCCAGCCACTGCTACCACTCTCTGGGCTGAGCCCAGCCCCTGAAGTGGGGCAGGAGCTTCCCTGCAGGTGATTTGGGAGCCAGGGAGAGCTGGGATGAGCGAGGCCCTGATCCATACCAGCAGGGAGTGATGCAGGCCAGTGGGGCCTGATCCTGGAGGCTCTATTAGGCACATAGTAGACTTGGCAGCTCCTAGCTGTGCCCCTGCTCCCCAGTCCTCCAATAGCAGGTCAGAGCTGTGCACATTAGGGTATTAACCCTGATATCACTCAACTGCTCACAGCACGTGCTAACTTTAGCACTGGCTAACATCCATTAGATTTAGCACGTGCTAATTGTAATGATGAATAACAATGCCCTTATGACTTTCAGAGGTGCCAAGCTTCGAAAATCAGGCAACATATTTAAGCAGTTTATTTACGCCCCTGAGGACTCTGGCTTGGAAAATAACTGTGAGAGTCTGTAGTGAGACAGGGACTGAAGGCAAGTGCTGCCATCCCACCTGACTTCTCACCTCGCTCCTAGATGCCCACCTTCAGGAGATGGTATTGCCAGGCACTGTGGCAGCTGGACCCTGCTGCCGTATAAGTCCTGTTTCATTAAATGCTTGTGGATTGAATGCAAATGAAATGAAAATGGTGTCTTCTCTTGCATGTTATTTTAAAAAAGCTGCTTTGGAAACCTCCACATCTCGATATACAAAGGGATTTGAACACTCAGTCTGGTTGGGTAGCTGCTTCTGTAGGAACACAGACACATCTCTTATTGTAAGAGAATTGTCTGGCTTCTGAAGCAGCTGAAATCACTCTGGATCATAATTTAGCACAGCCAGATGGAGCGATCAAGTGATTACTGACCCCGTTAGAAGCTGTCACTACTGAGGATAACTTATGATCGCTGGTGCTTATTGCCTTCTTGTAAGGCACTGTGTTGGGAAATGCGGGGCTTGGAGGAGTCACTGTCTAGGCTAAACAGCCAACAATATTGCATTCTTGCTTCCTGGGTTGCAAATTTGTCCCCTCTGCCTGGATTGAAGCACCTTTCAACCCCAGGGATTGCATGAGATCCAAACCCTGGTTGGGATTTGCAGTTTGCAAAGGGTCTTTATATTGAACCAAACATGCTTTGCCATTGGAGTGTTTGGGATGTGGGTTTGGATGTCAAGATTAAAACCCAGCTTGGTTTGAGCCTGATGTCTAGATGCACATGGGGCAAAGCCAGTCTTGCAAGTAAGTCCTGCCTCAAGTGATTTATTTCAGTGTTTCAATCTGCGCCTGAGAAGCTCACAGATCTGACCATGCTTTGGGCTGCTTCCCTTTGCTCCAAACTGCATGCATTTTGCTTCAAATTTGGGTCAGACCTCACCAGTGAAGGCAATCTTCCACCTTCCAGCTGGGTTTGCTGCAAGTCCTGTAGCAGGGTGAATAGAGGAGGGGGAAAAGGGGCCAGGTTCAAGTGGGGATGTGGCTCACTCTGATGCATTGGGCCCAGGAAGGCCAGGCAGAGGTCAGGCTACGTGGAACAGCAGCTCCTGGGCATACCTAGTATCGACCTTTGTCCTGCAGCTCTCACTGCTAGTGAAGCAATGCTGCCCGATTCTTGTGTTCAGACCTGAATTCCAGATTAGAAATCCTGCTCTGGCAGAGTCTGATGGAGCACACTGAGAGAAAAGCACCAGGTTGGGTCGACAGCACGGGGCCAGGAGGACCCAAGGCCCAAGCATGGGAGGGTAAGGCTTGGGTGGCAACACGGGCCAGAAGAGTCCGAGGCCCAAGGCCTGGGTAAGAGTGAGGCCTAGTGGGAGGCCAAGAGTGAGGTCCAGGTATGTCAACAGAAACCTGAGGCCTAAGGGGGGTAAGGCCCGGGAGCCCCAGTAAGGGAGTAGAGTAGTGTGTCAGGGGCAAGGGGCCTAATGAGAGGCAAGGAGCCCAAAGTGTATGTGGGAGCAGAGGCCCTGGAGAGGGCCCAGGCATGCTTAAGGACACCTGAGGCTAGGTTTGGGCCAGAGGCCAAGTGTGGCCCAGCAATGCGGCTAGGGGAGTTGTCACAAACTGCTGGAAGACCATTTTAAATTGGACATAAGGAAAAACTTCTTTACAATTTGAGTCTCCAGAGTCTGGAACAGACTCCCCACAGAAGTGGTGCAAGCACCTACTCTGGATACCTTTAAGAAACTCTTGGCTCTTGCTGGGGTGGTCTGACCCCAGCTGATTTCCTGCCCCTTTGGGCAGGGGGCTGGACCCAATCATCTCATTTGGTCCCTTCGAGCCCTAATGTCTATGAAATCTATGAATGCCATCTGTGAGGCATGGGACACAGTAAAGGGGAGGTCAGAGCTGTGTATTATGCCCTTGGCATCAGGGCATTAAAAGGGCAGCCTCCCACCCAGACACAACTATTTCATTACAACCAAGGCATGGCAGGCGAGTCAGGCGGGTGGACTGCCTTAGACTGGTGGGTGCACGGACACTCTGAGTGGCTTCCTGTCACACACTGTTAACCATCCCTTAGACCGAAGTCACTCTTTGAGTTAACATACTTGCCCTGAGACTGGGAAAAATCACAGCTGAGGCCTAGTATGATAAAATTAAATAAAAAAGCCTTGGGGTTAGCACATCTAGCTTGGGACTAATCATGTGTGAAACTTCTGCCACTCTGCTTTGGGGCTGGCTTAGCGCAGCAGTGCTGAGCGCATGTGGAGCAGGTATACCCATTGCTCTCACTGTGTCTTTCTGTGTCTGGCAGGATGGCAGCCAGGAGGAGGGGCAAGACACAAGATTTCTCCAACATTAAGGAATCACTATGGTAAATATTTGAAATGCAGAGCAGCACCTGGAGTCTGCAGCAAGTCAGTGGCTAGGAGGAGGCTGGTTGTGTGGGAATCCTGAGATGAGGGTCGAGCTGAGACATAGGATTTGCTTGGTGCTTTCTTTTGCTCGTGGTCCTTTCTTACACAAATGCTTTGAGGACATGGTTTTGCAGTTCCTTGTACCTGCTGAGCAGTGTGAATTGAGCAAAGGGACCAGCCACAGGGCTGATACAATCCCACTGACCTTGGGCAAGCCACTTATTACTTAGCCTTTCTCTGTTCCAGGTTCTCCAGCTGGAGAAAGAAGTGTATTGACTTCTACTTCATATACCCATGCTACATGTACTCACAAACCCTATGGCCTCTTGGAGGTGAGGAGCTGTTTCCTCCCAGCTGTTGGGGACGGGGAAGGAAATTGGGAACAGAACTGCTTCTTCTGTAAAAGTGGGTTACCCAGAGCTCTGGGCAGACAAGGGCAAGGTGCTTCCCTGCCTCTTTCTACTGATGCTTGGTTGAAAGTCCAGAATGAACTTCTTTTGCATAGGCAGACAAGGTTCTTTGAGTAAATGTGATATCTTTTATTAGAGCAACTAAATAATTGGGAAAATTGTCCTTTGCAAGCTTTTGGGTACAAACACCCTTCTTCAGGCGTAGGGAGAGTCTCTTTTGCATAAAATTTCTACCCAGAATTCCTTGGTTGCCACTTGAGAGTCACCGTACCTGTGTACAAGGATGGGAATGGTTGGGCAGTGGAAGTGAATAGTATAGAGAAAGCAGAATGTGGTTCCTGCTATGTGATTAGAGCTAAGGAACAAAACATCTACTTAAAGGTTTTAGGTACTTGGGTCAGTTTTTGGTGGGATTCATCGGTGGAAGTCGACTCAGAGAAAGCTTCATGATGGAGCGAGATTTGGGAAGGGATACCGAGAGAAGTGAGTGGACTTGGGTGAGTCTCCTCCTGTCTATCTCCCTAAAGCAGTGATTCTCAGGGTTGCTGGAGAACCCTTCAAGGGTGCCATGAAATGTTAGCTTTGGTAGGTTGGGATTTATCTTGTGAATCAGACCTTCGGAGAATTCAAATAGCAATCCATAGCCACGGTCCTTCTGTGTTCTTTGCAACAAAAATCCTGTTGATGATTTTTCTGTTGTCGAAAAAGATAAAACTAAGAGCTGCTGCTTTCCAAGGGGTGCCATGAGTCTACACGTGTCTAAAAAGGTTGGGTCCACTGGCCTAAAGGAAGCTGCTGTTGTTTTGGGGAAGGCCACACTTGCTAAGGACATGGATGTCAGCCTTCTGGGTATTAGCACCTGGCACTGTGCTACCCACTCACCCCAAATCCTGAGTGGAGTCTAGTGCATGGGGAAGGAGAAGGCGATGTGGTAGAGGAAGTTTTCACCAGCAGATGGAGAACTGAGTTAAAAGAGTGACTGCCAACATTACCACGGGGGAGTGCTGCCTTCATTATTTCTAGAAATGGATCCTCGCTGCGTTTTCCAGAGCTGACACTGTGTTTTGCCTTGTCCTTGGTTGTTACACAGCGTCTGTGCTGACAAGCAGGAAACTGCTGCTGAACAAGGGGGAAAAATAACTATGTTGGAAATTCAGGGAGCTGGTACTGCTTGTTACTTAAGAGGGAGCCCCGTGTATTTGAACCAGGGCTTGGTGGCTACCAAAAGCTCCTGACTGAGGGGTTGGCAAACAGGGAGTGACTCTAGCAGGGCCTCCCAGGAGCATTGGGCACCTCTCCCGGTCTTGATGGATGGTAAGACAGCATTTGTTGCTGGTGCCTGCGAGGGAAGCCTGCTGGGTACTGGACTGCTGGGATGATACAAGCACAGCCCTCTGCTCTGCATGCTATTTAGAGCCTGTTTTCCCTGTCGCCCACAATCACAACCACAGCTGTTTGCTTGTTTAAAGGAGGCCGTTGCAAACTCTTCAGGAAGGCTGTATTTCCTTGGCTGCCACTTGCAATAAGTATTGAAATGGATTCCCTCGCCAGCTCAGAGCATCTCACAATGCATTAACAAACCATCTCATCTGTAAGGGGTATTCCCACACAAGCAAACGTGGGGACAGACCAAGGAGTGGCTTGGGCAGAAGGCTGTCAGGAGCCCGAGGGCTGCATTTAATGTCTTACACTGAACCGATCACCTCCTCCCTCATCTTTGGTACCCGGACTACGCAGATTAGCCAGGATGACTGTGGGCTCCTGCCTGCCTGGGGTTCCCTGCTCAGGTTGGCCCCGAGACTTGCATTTCTCCCTCTTGTAACCTGTTGATCACTTGTGTGGCTGGTTATTCCCTCACCTGCATGTACATATTGGGGCAACATGGGCTTTTCATGTCATCACTGGCCAGCGGGCCAGACCGGTAGCTTATGGAAAGGGGTTTAAAGAGCAGGCACAACCCACCCCTAGTTCAGGCTGATGAGTCGGGTAGGACGTGTGACACAGGGCAGGTTTAAAATGAATGCATGGAAGCTGGAGGGTGTGGGTAGCACAAATGGGATGACCCTTGCAGGCAGTTCATGCAAGGTCCTCGCATGCTGAGACCGTGCCATTTCCCTGCTGTGAGCCCGGGGGCTAGAGGGAGGGAGGATCAGCTGCAGAGATGGTTTCCCCAGATGTTGTAGAAAGCCACGCGTCATCTTAAACGGAGTAACCGATGTGCCCACGGAGCTCCTCAGGATGCACAGCGACAATGAGGACCTCTGGTCCCTTGATCTGTT